CGACCATATATATATATATATATATATATATATATATATATATATATATATATATATATATATATATTTATATTTATGCAAATCCTTCCTTTATGCATGTTTCATTAAAGACGACAGACAAGGTACTACGGTTGAGCTTTTTATTTAATTTTTCTTGTGTTCTGACAAGAGCTTTCTTTTTTCTGGACAAAGGGTGTGTAAGAACTGTCCGAATGTTTCTGTATTTCCGAGCGCTTTCGTCTATATCTTTAGCCATTATCAAGGATGATTCGATTATCAGCTTAGTAGAGTGTGTGTTTCTGTGTATGTTCGGTGTGTGGTAGTGATGTTTTTAGTTTCCGAATACAGTTAGCACATTGTGGCTTTGTTCATAGTTAATATTGTTAAGAGTTGGCTTTTTTTTTTTTTTATTATTAGGGGCTTCCATTATTTTTAGTCATTTTTTGCAAGTGGATGCAGTTAACATATTTGTGTTTTCTACTAGTATGTTCCTAATAGTGTCGGGTAAATCTGAGTGTGTGTTTAAATGTGTTCTGATGGAACTGTGATCAGATAGGTGTAATGTAAGACGTCTGGATAAACATGTAGTTGTGTAGCCGATGTAATTATTTATGAGTCCGGTTTGGTGAGGAACGCAATTCCTTAAATATAAATGTATGTGTGTGTGTGTGTGTGTGTGTGTGTGTAATGCAAATCTATTTAAAATCAGAGAGTGAAAAAACCTGAATAGCACAATGAATAAATTTAATTTATCAGTAAATTTGTTCCTCGTTCAGTCATCCTTAGCCAGTTCATCCTGATGATTCCATGTGGTAAGAAGGTAGTGCTTGGCTCATTAGGTATTATTTATTTATCATTATTATTATTATAATTATTATATATATATATATATACACAACTATGATAAAAACAACATACGTATACGCACATTTATTAGGTTGGTGCAAAATTAATGACGTAATAATGTCGTTTTTTGACGTATTTTTTAACGTCAAAAAACGACATTATTACGTCATTATTTTTGCACCAACCTAATAATTGCACGTACATATATATATTTCTTTCTCGGGTGTTATAAAAACATTGGTCAATGTTATATAACAGAACTATTAAGTATATATTAGATATATAGTCCTAATCTATAACTATATTAACATCGTGAGTGATAAGCATATTCCATAAAACATTACTTTAAATATGTTATAACGACGGTATCTTATGCAAAAAAGAGAGTTATCACCTTGATACATAACGTGTTTACATAAATTCACTTTTTTTTTTCTTTGCAGATTTTTTTTTAATTCTTCGTCTTTCTAAATTAAGAATCCGGACAATATAAATATTTAATTCTAATATTACAGGCAACAATAATAAAATAAACAAGTCTTAGCAGACAATATTACATCATCACTACAAGAATACGAATTTAATAACGCTGTAACGGTCACTGTGTATTACGCACCTGAAGATTGCACATTTGCATGAAACTCCGAGTCAGGCTATCGACGTTGGATTATATGTATTTTCTGAAATATATATATATATATATATATATATATATATATATATATATATTTATATATATATTATATATATATATATATATATATATATATATATATATATTCGTTACACCTATCTGATCATAGCTCAATTAAGACTCATTTAAATACACTCGCACACCTACCAAATTCCATGCGCAACAACATATTAGTATAAAATACAAATCTCATACACACGTAAAAATTATTTAAAATCATTTAAGAACTAACAATAAAAAAGAAAATGCCAAAACTCAGTAACAATAATTATGAACACGGCTACAACGTGTTGACCGTATCTGAAAAATAAAAGATTCATATAACTTCCAATACATACATAATAAAAAAAAAACATATTCAGTTAAAAATGAAAATAAAAATCATCCTTGATAAGGGCTAAAGAATAGCCGAAATCACTCGGATATGCAGAACTTTTGAATAGTTTTTTATACACTTTGTGTCCAGAAAAGTAAACAATTGTACGAACGCAAGAAAAATTAAATAAAAAACTTAGGAACAGTTCTTTGTCAGTCGTTTTTAACGAAAATCGTTTAAAATAGAGATTGCTGCCTAAATACACAATATATATATATATGTGTGTGTGTGTGTGTGTGTGTTTCAAAACTAGCGTGTAAATTGATAAATATAGAGAGGCGCCTGTGTAAAGAAGACGCACACACCTCTAAATATGTATTTGAAGAAACAACTGCAAGTTCGTTACATCATATACTCGCTTTGAGAAAATTATATTGAACTGTGAATTGTAAGCGTCTGTGTCTTCTTTTCCTGAAGAATATGGTCAATGAGTGACATTAGACGGCGGAAGTGTATTCATATTCGCCACGTCTTTACGTTCATCGTTTTCTTCTTGGCAGTCTTCAAACATATCAATCATCATTTATTTCTAGTAACTGCCGTAGCCGAAAAATTACGCACAGTTATTTTCTTTATTTTCCTTTGCGAAGACGATCTTATTTATATTCTCCCACTCGACTACAGATTCGAAGTTTGTCTCTTTTTAGATATTTGTTGCGTTCCTTTTTTTTTTTTTTTTTTTCACATTTTCCTAATAGCCACTACAAAATGGTAACCGGTCACATATCCACGCTCGTTTTATTTGCGTGGGTAAATATGATTTATGTAGGCTAATTCCAGGAATAAATCCGTTATTGAGAAACTGTTTGAGGTTCGACAATCTATGAGTCGATGCAATTCCATCCGATTAAGACAAATTGGAAAGAAGAGATGAATTATACTGATCGAAAATAAATTGCAACACTTTAACAGGAGTTAAGTTTATCCGTCTTACTTTCAACCAATTTATATGGTTCACTGATTCATTAAAGGTGAATAACTCACAAAAAATATTTTACTTTTAACCCCAATTATTTGGGGAAAAACGGGTTAATTTACATTTTAGTCTCCGCATTCAGTTCCCATTAAAAATTTCTAGAATACTTACATTTATGTGTAATTGTACATGCTTCATTCGAATCTGGCTTCATAAATTTGATAAAATCTAACGTCTTGGAGTTATCGACAGTAAAATTTCGGATCCATTCGCGTCACGGGCAGCCATTACTGGCGTTGTTTGTTAACATTCGCTACGGAATAGATATGATTAGAATATTCACTTGTCTTAATTCTTGCGCACACGATATAGTTCTCTTGCACAGTAACTGAGACGAGGTGAGACGAGTAAGATCAGTTAAACAAAGGCCATTAACTGCATTCTTCCGCGCTTAGCTTTCCGCAGCGAATGTTTGCTAACAGCGCCAGTAATGGCTGCCACCAACGATGTAAATGAATCCAAAATTTTATTGTCGATAATTCCAATTTTATTAAATCTCTCAAGTCATTTTCGAATGAAGCGTGTATATTTACACCCAAAAGTAAGTATACGGGTATTTTTTAATGCGAACTGAGCGCGGGTGCAAACTGCAAATTAACCGAAAAACGTTTCACTTTCAGACGAAGATTTTTTTTGTTGTTTTAAAATAGTAATTAAGAAAGTGTGGTACCACGAAATGGCCGAGCGGAGGTTAACACCTCCTCTACCAGATATAGGAGTTGACAATTGGACTCGTTTCAACCTCAGAGGGGAATAAAGTGAATCAAGATCGACGTATAATCATACCTGTAGCTGGTTTTTGAACGTTATATTTTGGACGTGTTTATTCGTCCATATCTGAAATTGATACTTTCCGTGAAAAAGTATGTATATACACGTCTACGCCGGGTAAGGGTTTAAAAGAAATTTATTCGTAAGAGTCAGATTTAACCAAAACTGGAATACTGCTGTTATACTTGGGGTTGGAGTATTCCTACTGCATCTGGTTTGTTTGCTTAATGGCTTATCATCTTTTTCGTTTATTTAATGCCAAAATTTAATTTTCTAGTAAGAATTAGTAATTTATATTGCAAAAATGTATTTCTGGTAATAACTTTTTTTTAATGTATTCCAGGTAATTTTTTTCAAAAATCTATTGCTGATATTTTTCCTATACAAATCTATTTTTTATACTTTCATAGATTTTTACCACAAGTAAGGGGGTTAACTATTTCCCCATAGCTGGGACCCTAACACGTGCTCCAATCCCAGATCGGAGTGGACATGGGAACAACAAAGAGATAGTTCCACGCTTCACATAATCAACCAATCAACGTCCTTGCTGCCAGATGTAGGTCACAGTCCAACCTATGGCGCTGCTTTTCAGACTTCAACCGTTTACCTGATCTTTTTTTGGGATTATATATTTTCCACAATTTCAAACTCTTTCGCACAGAGGCAACTTCGCAAGTGTATTGCTTTTCTGACGCTATTTCCATGTAAAATGTTCGGACTAGCTCTATTCTTTAAGTTTCACACACAGCTAAGACCTCATTCCGTAACCCCCGATTTTGAGTTTTCTATTGGATGAATATGAGTAAAAAATGCATTTTTGTTAGTTTATGGAATATATGTATATGAAAGAACAATGAATGCCATATATTTTGTAAGTATATGCTTGTTGTTTTAGCAAAAGCGAACATATCTTCAGACAAAGTAAAACAGCAGCGATTTCTTAAAAAAATAATATCTTGCATAAACCCATGAAAAAAAAACATTAAGAAATCGCTACCTACACGAGGATTATCTTCTGTTTTCCCCTGCGATCAATGGGAATATAAAAAAAAATGTGTCAAGAATTCTATAAGATCCATTTTTTTTTTTACAACTTATCAAAATATTTTAAAGCCAGAAAATATTCTTAGATGGTAATACTTTTTTGGAGATAATAATGATTTTTTTTAATGATACAAGTTCTACTAATTAACCCATAGTTGTGGGGAGAATCCATACATTTCCTAAGGATATTTGCTCGTAAGTGAATATACAGAACCCGAATGGAACTGAAATTTAGCCCTCTGATTTTTAATTCCGAGCCATTATCCAATACGCCACTCGCACATCCAACCATACAACACCTGGGATACCCAAGCGGTCACCCATCTCGGTACCGACCAAATTCGGTATTGCTTAACTCCGGTGATCGTAGGAGAACTGGTGTTTCAGCGTGATAAAGTCGTAAACTCGAATTCTATCAGCTAGCGGGATTTTACACGATTCATAAGTTTGAAGTATTGTTATTTAATTTAACAAGCAACAAGCGGTCTCTATCAAATAATTCCAAACCACTCTACGGAACAAGGAAGGTTAAAGAGAATTGTTAAATACTGGGATGTATTTTATGCTACAGATAGCAGTGAAGTGTGAACGATCTTCTCAAAGATGAAGACAATTGAAGCAATAGAAATATGGATGCTAAAGAATCACAAACAAAGAACTAATTAATAGAAACCATACCCCTTGAGAGCTTTAAATAGCAGCAACAGCTAAAATGGATATCGCATCTAACTTGAAGAGAAAATATATAATTCAGATGTTGGCATTCCACATTACTTCAAATAAAAGGTAAGGAATAGAACCCCCGTAATTAATGGTAAGAACGATAAGAGCTGTTGGACTTTAAAAAAACATTTTCCTGAAAAAATGTTATAAGAGAAAAATTTGACAAATTTCAACGGACAGTAGTAATGGCTGCTCGGTCAATGAATGTCGAATGCTTCCTGATAAAGCATCGGTTTACAATATCATTAATATTTATTAATTTGAAAGAAAAGCTGGCAGAATAAGAGAAATTAAAAGTTCTATATGATTGAAAGCAAGTCGCTTTTCAGTATTTGATTCATTTCCATCATAATTAAAATGCCTTCTACTGTCTCTTTCAATCTATAAAACCTACGTTCAATCATGACTAACTGAGAGTCTTCGTTTCAGTAAAGTGCTGTGATTACTGGAAAAAAACGAACAGAAAATCTATGACAGAAATAGAATTTAAATTAGTGTATTTTTCTTAGACAAGGTTTCTTTGTCTCTTCCCGTTGGAGCAATTATAATTCAAACACAGCCATTACTCCCTTAACGAGGTATCTGTTCATCGATCCCCCTGGACTTTGATGATTCGATTAATTTGTTTAACAAAATATTAACTCTTTATGTGTGTTTTGGTGCCAAAATTTCGTTTTCTTGCGAAGTAATAAAAATATGATGATATCCTGCTTTCACAAATGAATATATGGTAGATGATACTCAGCTTTTGTGCATATATATTTTTGCGAGGACATAATTACTAGAGGCAGTGGTGTGTGATTGATGTTGTAGTTTTGTTGCAGTTATATATTGAAATACAGTTTGATGTCTTTAAGCAATTGCATAATATTATGTGGATGAATGTCATGAAAAATTTCTTTTATGTTGGTGTTTGGTTGGCATATCAACCACCAAGGATTATTTAATGCCGAAATTTAAATAATTTGAACGATTTTATGGTTTGAACTGCGGAAAAACTTTATTGCTGGTCATTTTGCTATAAAAATATATTGCTTGTCATTTTGCTATGAAATATATTGCTTGTCATTTTGCTATGAAATATATTGCTGGTCATTTTGCTATCAAATATATTGCTGGTCATTTTGCTATCAAATATATTGCTGATCATTTCGTTTTTAAATGTGTTGTTGGTCATTTTGCTATAAAATATATTGCTGGTCATTTTGCTTTTAAATGTCTTGTTGGTCATTTTGCTTTTAAATGTGTTGCTGGTCAATTGGCTATAAAATATATTGCTGATCATTTTGCTTTTAAATGTGTTGTTGGTCATTTTGCTTGAAATGTGTTGCTGGTCATTTTGCTTTTAAATGTGTTTTTAGTCATTTTGCTATAAAATGTATTGCTTGTCATCTTGCTATAAAATGTATTGCTTCATTTTGCTTTAAAATGTATTGTTGGTTGATTTATTATAAATATGTATTGTTGCTATTTTTTTTATATAAAGAGTACTGCTTGTATTTTTACTACTAAAATACATTTTTATACTTTCATATTGTTTTTTTTTTTGTTGGGGGGGGAGGTCACTATTTTCCCATAGATGGAAACCCAACAGTTGCTACCACCCCGTCTCTGGTTGGACCTGGGAACAACAGCAATTAAGAGGTGGTTCTATGCTACTCCAAACTTCCTTTCTCCCGAGCAGAGGCGTTCCTTGCGCGTGTTATTTACTGTCATATCTAAGACTCTCTGGACTGAGAAACAACTATAAAATCACAGAACTATTAGTCTCTGTCATAAATAATTTCCGTTTTTATTTATCAATTTTATACTTCAAAACATAAATTACAATTACATTCCATCCAATTTCGCATTTATTTGCAATGACTTGATACCATTTATCCGGCAGATTTCGATAACGTTCGAGTCAATTTCCGTAGATTTTGATGGGAAATGACATTCATCGAACAATTGAATCTGGTTTACATTTTGCAGCGATTGAAAATACAGAGTAACTGAAAAGCAATTCACCTTTTTTATGTATGAGTGGCCAGCCAGAAGTCTTGACTTAACACCCTGTGTTTTTTTTCGTTGTGGTTGGTTAAAGGGGCAAGTTTACTATACGAAACCAAGATTTTGAACTTGAAGGGCGAATACAAGAAATTATGTCTTTCATACATCAAGGGTTCTTGGTGAGATCAGTTGACGTGATACCTGGGCAGCTCTAGAAGCTGGTAACAAAACGTGGTGCCTAAATAGAATTTGAAATAAAACCTTTCCTCCCATATCGATTTCTTTTAAAAATTATAGTTAATAAATAAATTATAAGTATTTTAAAATAGGGAGTATATTTTCAATGACCTTGTATATAAATCGGCTGGTGCAAGGTTAGTTGAATATGGCGTGTGGTGTACTGAAAAGTAACCGTTTTCTAAATTTTTTTCCTGTGTTTTTCTTCTTATATGAGGCTTTGCGTTATTATAGAGCAAAACAACAGTACATTTTAACCGACTGTGTACGCCGAAACTGTCGGGGAAAACCTAATATATGAGATCCGTAATTCATTAGGATTGAAGCGGCACTACATGTACTGCAGCCGTACTGTTCCTTGGGGAAGATAGCCTGACGGAGCCTAACCATGTCCAGGCTGATTTGAATTCTAGACTAGTCGTCAACCAATTATATAGGACCCATTCTAGCCTGCTAGTTAACCATAGCTGGGGTGAGAAGAGATGGATTCACATCTTTTCAGAAGGTATTAGAAGGGAACTGAATGTAATGAACTCAACTGGAATTTGAACTCGATCTGCTATCCATTACTTTACCGAGCCTCCGATGTTATTACCGATGTTGAGTCAACATTGATCCTTAACTGCCATCTGGGAGTATGAAAGTAGTATTTAGGATGATGCATTCGTCATGATAATTCAATCAGTTATGTGCTATGCGTAATACACGATTACGCGATCATGTATCTTTCGATACATGACTGACGAGGCAGATTTTTTTTTTCCCGCAGTAGGTTGCTATTTCTTTCTGCGGTAGACCGGTTGCCATCCAAGACTATAGAAACCGATCTGGTCTGTTATTTACCCATAGCTTGGGGGAGAAGAAGAGAATTCATACCTTTCCCAAGGGGATTAGCACGTAAGTGAATGTAGTGGATCCGACTGGATTCGAACTCGGCTCTCCGATTCTTCAATCCGTGCTTCTTTCCATTAATATCCCTTACTCCTCTTCAATTGCATGACAATTAGTTTCTCAAAAAACGGAAATTACTTATGACTCAAGCTAATAGAAATAAATAGATAAATTCAACAAGCCGCTGTTGTGAGTTTTGGGAATACTTTGATCTTGTTTATGTCTTCGTTTTTTTTTAAGCTGAATCAAAATAAATAAAACGCATAAATGAAGTGCAATAGAAATAAACATTACATTTTATTGTACCTACATTATACAAACCCATGTAATATACAGAACAGATGACGCGGTCGACGGAGGAGGGGCGTATTCACCAAAAAAATCGAAAATTGCTTTTATCACTGCAAATTATTCATTATATCAAATCCAAGTATTTTACAAAAAGAATAGAGCCGATTACACAATATTTGAAGCTCAATTTACGTTTATCGTTCGTAACCATGCAATGAGATGATGTAACATAAACCATAGATTTGTCTGCAGAATATCATTACATTATTGTTACATAATTATAGTGAAATCATTAACGTTTGTTTTGTTTTTTTTGTAAAAAGCATTTTATTTTTGGTCGTATACTAATTTAAAATATTCCTGTTTACAAGCTTTATTTTTTGAAATGGAATAGGATCATCCTAAATTCTAGAATTTCACTATTACCCATCAAAATGACTGGAAGAAAGCGATTTAAAAACAAAAAAAATGTAAAAGAGAGGTAACAAAGCGTAGACGAAAAAGCTCCCGTTTGTTCAACTTAGGAAACTTAAAATTGCAGCCAAAGTATACTAAAATGCTGCCAATAACAGAAGAGAAAATGAAAAATACCTAACAAAAAATCGAATATAGCGTCAAAATTTATATTATTTTTATTTGTTATTTAGCTAAATACATAATTGTCAACAATGTTTCCGTAAAACTAGATATTTCCTATAATAAATTCTTAATAAATATTATTATTGTTATTATTTTACTTGAGTGTAAGGTAGTAGTATATTTATAATTACTTACGGCTAACCACGTAAAGAAATGTTGATTAAAACTACCTAAAACCTTTAAGCGCCTATTGCCGCCATATTATCAAATGTTGAATGCACCCCTCCATCGCTGAATGCGTCGTATATAGAGCTGACTTTTTAATATACTTGTATGTTGGTATTAAAATTCTGTATTTCATGAAATATTGAACTTACAAACTGTACTATAATGAATCCAGTAATACGTCAAGTCATACTGAAAAAAATGAAATTTGGAAATCATTAAATAATAGTGAGTTCGATGTATACTAAGTTCCCCATACATGTGACCATATGCTTGAACTAAGTTACGCTTGCCAAAAATCAGACCAGAAAAGTGATCTGTGTTTTATGTCTGTAGTTTTGTTAAAGTTATATTTTCGAATACAGTTTGATTTCTTCAAGAAATTGTAGGATATTATATGGATGCATTATGAAGAGTAGATGATAATCAGCTTTTGTGCATATACATGTTTGTGTGTGTATAA